AGCGACTCGACGTAAATACCTAGATATTGCTTTTCAACTATTTAGAATTGTAGATCAATGTTATAAAACCGTATAGGTAATATGCGTATAACAAAAACCTACATATATATGTATGACTTATTATTCCCAACTATTTTCCGTAACGAAAATTTATCGGAACGACGAGGGTCTCGTTTATATTCTAATAGAAAGACCTGTTATCAAAGATCTTAAACGAAAGTTATTCCGCATATTCTGGGAAAAACAGCGCAGCGTTCCGTTTCATACATACCGCTGGCTTACGTCTACTATGGCTAGGCTAAACTCCAATCTAAATTCCGATGCTTCTAGATCGGAATAGATTTTGCATGTAAGAACGCGAGTCCGTGCGCTGACCGGCCTCCACTCGCTTTCGTCTCCGTTTCCAACGTTGGTTAGCGTCCAAAACGCCACCCTCTTTGCTTCCACCTCTTTCTTCCATCTCTCTGAGTCCTCTCAACCGTCCCCCATTCGCCATTGACGTAGATTAAAAAATTTCTGCGTTGAATTATGAAAAGCTATTTGTCCAGCAATCGTAACCGCTCGTTAATGGATTTCTCGAGCAAGCGTTTCCCAAGCGTCGAACGACGCGTCCGAGACAAGGACAACGACGACGAAATATGCATCAACCTGTACAGCCTCCTCTCCTTGCGGCAGCATTTTCATCCCATTCCATCGACCTTTTTCAGCCACTTTAGCCAACTGCAGTAGCAAACCGCCGACAATGCGGAATAGGAATTTCATTCTGCGCGAAATGTCGCGGTCGTTGTTCGTTTTTTCCGCGGCCAAGTACCCGCCCCTGGCCTGCATCCGGTCCCACGCCGTGATTACATTCGACTCGGCATGTGTGCAACGAGAGTAAAAAAGAGAAAATAAAATATAGTAGAGGGGAGAGAGAGAATGGCGTGAGAGATAGAGCAACAAGGAGAAGGAAGTAAGGCCGAAGCAGATACCGAAATTAACTGCACCAAGCAAGATCTCATTACCATTTCGCTGGCGGCTCGTTT